GAAATTGAAATAACTTTCTTTGAAAATCATTCCGTTTGAGTTGGCTTGTGCACTTTTCTAAACGTGATATTAAATATTAAAGTTCAGTCAGCGGTCAAAGCGATCGCTGCACTAGTCTTTGCGAGACTATTGCTGTCATATTTTTGCGTGGAATGCGGAGATATGCAACTTAAAGTAGTTCAGATAGATGCATATTGGTAGGTATTATAATATACTATTAGTGTGAATGCCATTCGTAACTACTATCAAAGTATGCAGCTCAATTGGTGGCCAGGCACTTCGCTTGCTTAAAACGAAGTCTGACTAGATCTGTGGATTGCGTCATTTTCGTGAATGTGAGTGAGCACCAAATTAAAATTCAACGTCAAATCTGCGGCGATTGGCATGTTGTTAATGTGTTATGTGGGTATATTTATTTAATTTTATAAGATTATTTCTCAAGGCCAACATCATTGTACCAGTATTTGATAATTGGATGTTAGCGACTTGACGCGGAACCTCCTTTACTAAGTGGAAATAAAAATACAATTGCACATAAATAGGTATGTCGTATAAGACAATAGCTCAAGTTACATAACAACGTTGTTTAGCTGGTTTTTAATTTATATTTTAACGCAAGTAAGTGGTGAGGTGGCAACATTACCTCTATATACATAAATGAATTTAATGTTTTTTTCTGATTTCAATTGAGCGTATCTCCTTACATACCCATACCCATAGTTGTTTTCAGAATATTTTTACGTATGTATTGAATATTGAAACTTAATGAACATAAACACGTAGACATCTACATAAGCAAATTGGAGGTGAAAGTTAAGTTTTAAGGTTACCAATCGGTTTCCATTTCACGAAGTCAAATCTGAACCCTACGCGGAAGTGTGGTCAATGAACCGACTAGACGGTTTGGGCAAGCAGCCCGGGCGGGCGCGCGACCGCGAGCTCCACGCAGTCGCGCCGCGCCGCGCACGCCACGCCGCACGCACCCATTGACCCCAATGTTATGTTACTTGATTGCATTTTCACTTCGCAACCGTTGCGTAGCTGGATTGACTTCGATACAGCACCCTACTTACAGAACAGTGTCAGGCAAACACATTCATCATTTATTTATACTATTAACCGCTTTATGTCTAATTTCTTGGACATTGTTCTACAACCGTATATAACGTTTAACGATATTTGAAAACTATTTGGCCAGTCATAATAGCAATACTTCAATGGTTTAAAAATAACGATGGATCGATTGAGGCACTTTAATTAATCGCTATTTTAAATCGGTATAAACTTCAAGGGCAAATTCACATTATACCTTCGCATGGTAGGCAAGTAACGGTACAAATACACGCTAAGTAAATAGTAACTGTTAATCATAAAAGTAACATTATTCAACCATTTTAGACGCAACAACAATTTAGGAATAATGTAATTCAGTTGTTATGAAATTAGTAATGTGACGATGTAGAGTCAATTACGTAGAAAAGGTCTATGTAATGTAATGACATCTTTGTTTTCGAAGGTGCAAGACTATAAACCAACTATAGAAATGACAGAAATCCAGCGTATTACGAGTTTACAACGCATTGCGTAGTCGTACGTAGCCTGTGATCAATGTGGTATCACGTAGTCGCTTCGTAGTCGCGTCGTAGTCATTGCGTAGTCGTTCGTAGGCGTTGTGCAGCCCGTCGTAGATCTGTTGTAGACGTGCGTAGCAGCTCCGCAAGGCGTAGACGACGCGTAGCAGTTACGTTAACGATATGGAGATAGTTTATAACTTGTTGTAGCGAGAATTTAAATACTGAAATATCTTTGTATTAACGCCAGTACAAAAAGCTTTCTTTATTTCAGCTTTATTTCTTTATTAGACAGTTTTGGATAGCTTGAAATGTTAGCGCTAGTACATTTGCATTTGAAACTGTTCAATTATTCTGGATTCAAAAAGATCGTGATCGTGTTCTAAGACTTGTTCAAGCAAACTCTACCTTTATCTTGAATGTGTATATATAATTCTGATTAGGGTGTGCACTCAGTATAAAGACAGTAATTGTATACAAATTCTGCGGGTGTGTCGTATTATTTGTGGCACTTTCGTCAATAGATACGGAATACAGAGTATCGGAAATCCGGCCACGGTTTGTTATTTGGAGCGAGACTGCAACGTGTAAAAGCGACGATGGTCTGTGAACCCATTGATAGAGCTCGGTATGGCGGTCGTGTCACATATACGTCCCCGCGACTGCTAGGTCTGCCCCGCGGCTGCGCTCGGCACCGCACTTTCTCCATATGTTATGCAGCTGTGCACGTGCCTCATTTGACACACATTTTCGTCCTTCCTTAGCGATGTCCGTACATAAACAATGTGTTTGTGGAGCGGATGTCATCTAAACAGTGTTTGTGTTTACATATATATATTTCATTATGCTTCAGACCAACGGTCAATGCGAGTTGTTTAATTTTAAAGGCTTCGTGAGATGGTTGCAATTTATAGTAAGACAGTATTTGCTTGTTTGGTTATCGGATGGAATTTCTACAAACAACACCTGTTAGCGGGCATTGCGACAGAGGGTTCGTGTTCGCGCGCGATATCAAACCGGTTCGCTTGGTAGAGGCCGCGCGCCGCGATCTGCCGTCGCGCTGCGGTGCGCGTTGTGGCGGCGAGCGCGTACCTGCGCCCGCGCATGCTTGCCGCCTTCTTCGATGGATGCTTACGCTAATGGTTCACATTTACCTGACACCGTTGTCCTAGTGGTACCGGGAACTACCGCTACTTTATCTATTACTTCGTGCTGGTTATGTTATTTAAAATTATATACACACATGTATTGATTGTTATATAGACACGTGTCGTGGGCTTAAAATAATTTGTCTTTTGATGAACATCGTACATTACAAACCGAGTAATTAGCTGATTGATACGTTTAGGTCGTTCAATAAAGGCATTTTAAAGACTACGTTAATTATAATGCATTAGTTACGTCACAAAATGAATGAGTTTAACAATTACATAGAAATCAGGTACAAATGACAGTGACGTGGAATTTTAAAATCTCTTTGTGAGTAACAAACGAACATTCAAGAATATTCTTATTTACTGTAAACTACAAAATGCCATTAATTATGTATATTAGTTTCTACAATGTTTGTATACGATGAATTTTTATCCGAATAAGTTGCAAGAAAGTATATGTATTATAGACCTTATCAATTCTGTATAAATTCCCCAATGTAACATATAATACAAAATACTGGCTATTGTTACAATAACAGCGGCCAGGTATTGTGTATCTAGTTTAAGAGACGCCGTAGAGCTAAATGAGTAGTTTGCGTTTGATTCAGTTTGATGCAAGCGAGGCTCGATTTCACATGTTTACGTAAAATGTGGAAAACGAATTTTCCCCTTTGTAACATGACAATATTGAATGTTATCGTTTCGGCGATAAAAACTCTTATCTAAACATCAGTGTCATGCATCTTTAGTGCCGTTAGTCATTCCCTGAGTCCATTGTTTGACTCACACGAAGTAGCTTCAGAGGTTACAGCATAATAACACAATAATAAATTCAATAATCCTGTGAATAATACTAGATTATTTACTATTCAATGAACACAACAAAAATTTGTCATAATCAATCGATGCGTCATGTTCTGGGATAATATTTATCACATATTTTTTAAGATAAGATACTCACAAAATCATAACAGAATTAGTCATGTGTCGAATTGTATCGTAGGGGAAAAGTTGAATAATTTTCAAAGTAATAGGGAATTTGTGATAGTTTTTGTGAATTATTGCTAATGTTCGGACTTTTTTACTATAAGAACGAAATGGCTGCTGTAAACTCAAGTCTTATAAACCTTACGGGAATATCAATGTAACTATGTATGTAGTGTAATAAGTTCCCTTCGTGTAATAATATTTGTTATGTATGTCAAATAATACAATTTTAATTGAAAATGGACGGGTATGACGCCATCTCAGCACCGTAGATATAGTTAATTTTCTTTCCAACTATTACATCTGCAATAAATACAAAAATGAAACGTATCTGCCAATTGGGATGACGGCAGGGTATGAAAATTAAAATCTAATTAGTCCGTAAGTTAATGAAAAAATATCAAACACGTATTTTTTATTTTGTCGTATAATAAAAAAATACTTAGATAAAACGAATCAAAGTTTAGGAGTAAAAAAAGGCTAAAACGTCATTTCTACGTATAAAATAGAAGTGACGTCACCCGACATTTCAAATATATCGTCGAATGTATTCGTTTCTGTAAGAAAATAAAAAATACCTGTCTAATGATTTAAAATAATCTACCAGACGGACATTAAAATAAAAATAAGGCATCTACACTATTGATTTAGTATTAAAGCTATAATGATTAATTTTATTACATTAAGATAATTTTTGCGATATAAGCTAGAATTAGATTGATGACCTATCTAGGTATTTAGTGAAGAACAACAGGTGCAAGTTTTCCAAATTTAGACACTAATATGATTCACTTTGATTGGAATACCAGTGAATTCCGTCCCAAACATAAGTAAGGATAATGATTTGAAATAATATAGCAAACTGACAAAGATGAGAAGAAAAGAGCTGAGGCCAACATGTACTATTTTAGATTTATTTATATATAAACCGAGTCCCAAAAATCTCCCGCGTTGTTAAGGCCGGGCTTTGGAACCCCACTGCGAGATGCCCCTACAACACTACATAGAAGTGGTAGTAATTAATATTACACGTATTTAATTTTACTTCAATTTTTGAGTTTAATAGTTTTGTCTATGGATACTGTAAAGTCATGTGGTTTTAGCCTGAAATAAAAACTGTAGCTTGTAAACCGACCAATCCAATAAAAGTCAAAAAGTTATGAAAGTGTGAAAACAACAAAAGAATGACGTCATAAATGAGAACTATTATTATTAAGGGGCAAGAACAAAAGATTGCAAGTCAAAGTTATTATGAAAATGTTTTAACAAATTGGTTATTTGTTTTCAGGTGCTCGGTATCTTGTGTATGGCGCTGGCGTCGCCTTGGTACTCCACGTGGTTCGTCTTCGTAGCCGTCACGAGTTTCATTACCACTCTCATTTGGAGTTTCGTGTACCTGCTCAGCATTAAGGAAGTCCTCAAAATCCCCATTAACTGGGTTTTGTCTGTAAGTATTCGACTAATTTTATGAACATTTACTGTGATCCTAATAAAATATTTCATACATTTTCCTTTAACTGACACTTTAAATATCATATTGCAAGCTCTTTGATGTGCAGAAGTGTAATTAGGAAAATGCTCAACAAAAGTATTGTCGTCATATATATACTGGAAGTTGTTACATGTTGTTGTCTAGTTATTTACAATTTACGCATTGGTTACTCATCAACATCACCCAACCGATCCGATGCTTTGTAATGGTGACTGGTTCAATTCTGAATTGGTTAAAAAGTGGTAATAAATTATTCTAATTAAAATTAGCGTCAATAACCCGCGAATTAGATTATTAGCGCAAATATAGATTAGCGTATTAGCTGTGTTTTACTCACGTAACTCAAAAATTATGTAGAGTCATATTGGTCTTGTAACTGACTTCTTTGCTTCTCTGAATTTTGAGAATATTAGAGCAGAGTGCACATATGTCTGTGCACATATTGGTACTACATTAGTTATTCATCTTTTTACGTAGTTGGCGCGTGTCTATTGAGATTGGCTGCGTAACTGAAAACGACCAATATTGTGTATTATTTGTTAATTGACCTGTTAAAATATCTTTCGAAAATATATTTTCCTGTAAATTACTGAAAATAAAAGCAGAAATTCATTTAATGTATTGATCAAGGACATTGGTGAGGTGGCCGTTAGCCTGCAATAGAGTGATTCATAATTTTGTAGTTAATTAAAATTGTTGTATGTAGTTTGATTGAAACGTAATATTCTAACGAATAATATGTATTATTCCAGGAGCTGATCAGCACCAGTATAGAGACATTTATGTACCTGATCGCCTTCATCGTACTATTCGCAGCGACCGCTGGCTACTATACTACGGGCTACGGAGCTAACGTTGCAGCAGCTGTAAGTGTTATCAATCAATTCTTACAATATCTAAAAAAAATAAAGACTACAATAATATTTTCGCAACTCCCGGTAGCACATTTAACGTCATGCTCAAGAGACAGGTTATGTAGTCTGAGGATGATATAATTATATAGCACTTCGAATTTTCAGAATGGACATTCGATATGATAAGCACTTACGTTTTAGTTATATTTGCCTATATTTATTATATTTATCTAAAAGGACGTAAGAAATCGCCAAATCGTAGGTGGCACAGAAGGTTGTATAAGAGAAAGCAGTTTGAATTCACTGAAGATTAGACACAACATAATATTAGTAAAGCATTCGACTTCGTTTTATAAGCCTCGAAGTAAAGAAATGTAGGTACTACCAGTTATCACGATTTGTTGCTCGAAACCAGTTTGACAACTAATAACAATTTATTTATAATAATGCTTTAATTGTGATGATGTCAACCAACAGTTAGTCGCGTACTATAGGTATTGATGCCCATTTACGACTTAACAATAGCATTTGAGAATAGTGGTGGAGATTTTATTTGTTTTTCAATGTTATAAGGCAATCTATGGCTTGTTTGCGTGAGGGAGAAATAGTGTTATGTTATGCTTCCAGTCTGGTATACTAAAGATAGCGTAAATAATTCAGTTTATAATTTCGCTAGAATAGGTTGACTGAATTAATATTGTAAACAAAATTCCAAGGGAAAAACCACATCTAAATGACGGAAAATAATTTATATGATGTTTAAAGGAAACTTTATTTAGCCAAGCGCTCCTCTCATAAACTAAATGATTAAATAGAAGGTAAAAATCCTTTGATGGAAGTTGGTTCAAGGATTTTATCACTGTATATTATCCTTGGTCGTGGTGGCCTGGAGGTTTAAGACGCCTGCTCTCATGTATGAGGGCGGGTTTGAAACCAACCAACGGCAAGTACCAATGTGACTTTTCAGAATTATAAATGTACTTTCTAAGATTATTTAGACACCACTGACAAACAGTGAAGGAAAATATCGTGAGGAATCCTGGGCTTATCTTTTCTAATTATAAGGTTGAAATCGCCAAAATGCATTGAGCAAGAGTGGTGGTTAATTTTTAAACCTGATTCGTGTCTTTGCTCAGCAGTGGGCATATTTATAGGCTGTTGATGATGTTGATACACACAGGGTAATATACACGGAAGTCATTGATGTTCTAATGGATTGTAATCATGTAATGATACAGTCACGTGGCTTTACATGTATATTGTTTTTCTTTTTGATAATATTTGTAAATGTGTTATTAAAATTAGTTATTTGACTGTACAATGGCAATGTAGGAGTGTATACTAATGCCATACTTGTGTACATATGTATAGAGAAAAAGTAGCTAAACCAATACATTATGCACTCTATCCATGCTTACGGGAAAAAGTGATGTTTACTATATACACTTGGTACGTAGGTTTTTATTGAGCACAAACGAAGTGGTAATTTAATATTTTTTATCATTTAAAAGTTATTGCCCTCGGAGTAGAAGATAAAATTTAGCTCCTAAACGCAAACGTATACATTCAGCCAAGGCTAAGTTTTACAGGTTTGGTTTCCGTTATTAAATGAGGTATAAATGTTATACGTTCCGATTCCGACTATCTAGAGGTATATTATGTAGAAATCTAAGAAAAATCCAAATATCTATGTTTATAATGGTCGACGATCAATTAATATAAATGTAACATATTATATCTAAAAATGAAAACGAGTAAGTAGGTTTATTGCAAATAATTCAGGACACAAGTGTTAAGCTTTAGACTAATGAAGATAGTTGTATGTTTAGTTTTGTAGATATCTTTGAGAAAGACGACGAATCTAATCTTACTTTCTATTTTGTAATTTGCATATCGACTGCCTACTTATACTTTCGTAGGTAGAGTTTCGGTGCAAGCGATCACATCGTTAATACCTCTATATTCGACATATGAGATTTATGTGATTTGATATTTCTTTTTTTTGTAGTGCACTGACTGTAATATTTTAAACATGTCTTGATCAAAGTTCACAGGTTTTCTGTCTGTTGATTTTTGAAAATTCTAATAATTATTTGGTGTATTGGTAGGTACAAAAATACTCACCAATATGTAAATAGCGGAACAAACTGAACAATTGAACATTAGTTATGCAAATAAAATAACGTTAATGCATGACATTGATCGCATTAGCAGGCTTGGGTAATTTATATATTAATTGTAATTGTGTTTGTTTGCACAGGTGTTCGGTATTTTCAACACGGTGGCGTACGCAGCCAGCTCTTTCCTGCTGTTCAAGGAGCACCGAGGATCAACTGCGACGGGGCAAGTGGCGTGAGCCTGAACCCTGTGCGCATGCGCCGCGGCCACTATCATAAACCTCAATGAAAGCCTATCATCGTATCGTTCACATTCGTTTCGCTTTCGATAAAAAAACACCGAAATCTAACTGTATTTTTCACGAACTGTTAGCACTTGTTTTAAATATTTATTTTTATGAAGAAACAACATATAAAGATTATTTTAATGAAAAGTATAAACATTATACAGACATTAACATTGTATAAAAATAATAGACCAACTACATGTGCCCACGTCTTTACAAACATATTGATTTCATATTCGAAGGTCTTATGAATGTGTTATTAACTGCCAGGCTGATCTACACATAATAAAACTATTAGGTATTTATGATTATTGTATATTTTTATTTGAAGCGAATATTCCATCGCAAATGAGAAAATATTTTGGTTTCATTGATCAAAACCGTCTGCAGATAGGTACCTAAACATAAGTTTGTAATTTATGTATAATTTATATTTATAGTATATTTAAAAGTCATAACAAACAGTACGGTTTCAGATTAATAATTATAGAATAATATTAAATTAATGGCCATAGATTGTGTACGTGTGAGGTATATAAATGGTAAGCTATGCTTTTAAATAAAAACCGTTAAATCGGTTAATTTAATGAACAATCTCTGTACCTAGTTGGAAAGTGGTAATTTTACTATGAGGTAAAAACTCCTTTTGTCTATGATTCCTTTATGGCCTGTACTAGGGAGAGTTTCATTGACATTCTTGAGGAGAGATTCATCAAAATATTTATAAGAACAGCAGCTATAGCCAAATGCCATTTAGCGCTTGTCTACTTGTAGAGTAGAAAACTAAATTATATGGATTTGACGTCAATTTTGACACTTGTCAGTGTCATCCTCATACATTTTGATTTCTACTCTCTCTGTAGACAAGCGCTAAGTGGCATTTGGCTACAGCTGCTGGATAGCAAAAGAAGTCAACCAAAACTAGAGTACTTGAAACTAAAACGCACATTATAATTATGTTGGTATAAAATGAAATCTGAGTTCTTAGTAATATTTAAAATTTAAAAATATATTTTGAAATGAATAAGTAAATTTTGGGGCCAGTTTGACGAAGTACATGCTTAGGTTTCGTTTTTATAAGATATTTACTCGTATTTTAATCTCACGGTTGTTATACCTAATATTTTGTTAGACTAGTCTTACAAAAACAAAAAGTTGCATGAACGTTAAATGTTAAATCTAAAACGAATTAATTGTAATTTAATATATTCTTAGATAATTTGGGACAAAATGTTTGGTAAAGACAATATTTTTCGCACTTTAGTACCTATACCTACCTGTATGTTAATTTGAGTACCTGATGCCTATAGCATCCATAAACATAGATGATTCTGATTGCTCATACTTTTCAAAATTTAAAGTTTACGAATATATATTTCTATATTTTTGTGAGTGAGTTTTTAAAGATCTATTTGTACCTTAAAAGTATTTTTGTAAATGTCAAAATTAATTGAGATTGAGCACGTTTATTACACTTACACCTTTTTGGGTATCAATACTTACATTTATTTAATCTACTTCTTAAAGTTACATTTTGATGTTTTTGTTAAGTACTGAAATATTTAAGTTGTGTTGAATGTCGGGTGTTATGTGAAGTTTAAACAATAGTTAATTTTATTGACCTAATTTGTAAAAAGTTAATAAATATATTTTAACATATTTTTTGATTTTATTGTTCAGTTACCCAAATATGTATATTAACAGTGGTCGCTTTATTTATATGCTTCTTTGGCCTCGTTGGTCGAGTAATAGTAGAACTGCTAAAGAAGGACTTCGAGTTCGATTCTTGGGTCAGGCAATAGTCGTTCAATTAAATAGCTCCCATAGTATGTTAAAGGGTAATAAGTTATGGTAAAAGGACCTACAGCTAGACTGGGAGGCTTGGAGCTTAACTGACTATTGAAACAGTTGTAGTTAATATTTATCCGCCTGTCATTTGGTGAACAAAAGACGTTATGTGGTGTAGTACTTAGAACAGAACACGTATGTGGTTCTTAGAAAAAAGAAACACGTTTGTAGCAATCACGTAGTAATACACTCATTTCCTATTACAAGTCAAGCTCCCACATTAGCACCATCAACAAATTAACACTTTTACTGCCAAGTTTAAAATGGTGAAAGTAAAACCTCAACTAGCTACAGGCACCGGTCGGAGGCACTCTAAGGGTTAAACTAGTATTCATAGTTTCTAATGGAACTATTGACAGTTATTTCATGGATTCTGTATGAGCTTATTCGAGTTCCTTTATTCAGTGTTGTAATAAATACATACATATACGACGTCTCTAATTAATAATTCTTCAGTTTTTTATGAAGAACAATTATTCAACTTTATGAAAAGAATTTTTTGTTCGCTGAAATCCATACATTTCAGTCAGATCTTAAATCAGGGCCCTGACCAGCGAAGTAGTGAAGCTGGAAGCTGTGTTGATTATAATTATGATATGTTTCCGGGAGCCCAGTCTGAATGAATATAGTGGTACCTCCAATTTAATGCATCACCTTACAAGTCACATCCTTCACGAGTACACATTGCTCACATAAATTAGCAAGGCGATCATCGAATAAAAGCTATGCGTGTAACTATATATGTATATACTACAATGCAGTAAGTACGTGCAGTCACCTGTTGTGTAAGCAGTGTGGTACTTAATACTACGAAATGATCATAGTGCATTGGTAGTAATAGTAGGTAACACATGTTTTCTTTTTCAAGAAAATGTGATATGTAATGTAACAACATAAAAATTACGTATTATCAAGTGCTTAAATAAAACAAAGCGATTGCAGTGTCATACACAGATGTGAATAGTAATGCATTAAAGTGGACCATATTGAAATTGAGAGAGATGATGGATGACGGAATTACTGTAAGTAACATATTGTCGATAACTTATCAGAAATTTTATGAGACTTTGAACCTGCAGACGTTCACGTAGACGTTAAAAATAGAGTATGATTGCGCATGCGTTAGATGCAACGGCACTGTTCTGCATCAGTACACGTAAGTACAATGATCCTTTCTTTTGTTTCGGCGGAGTCTGTTCATTGTAACTGCATCGATAGCTTCCAGACTACGTCCGAGGGTATCCTTGGTGCGCAGAGCTGCCTGTCTGGTGTATGTTGTATGCGCAATGTCGATACTCGGTGGTCGGTGAGTCACCGCGAGCTGAGACCGCTTCACAGTCGCTGAGTCGTTCCAATATTGCTCGCTCGTGCATACGTGCGCTATATTCATTAATTTAACACATTTCCCGAATAATATAAACTGTGAGTATTTTGATAACTTCTTTTTATAATAAATCTAAAGTTATAACTGCTTTTTATGAAGTTGTGAAAGAAAAATAATAAGAAATGTTGAATTTATTTAAACTTTATACTAAGTATATTTTAAATGATGATACAATTACATACTTATTTGTTTACTTACTCTATGGTTCATTTTTGTTAATGTGATATCACATTAGAGGGTTAATAGTTTTATTGATTAAAACACGGTTTAATTTTAATGAAGTTATTTATTATTATATTTTCTTAGATCCTTCTTCCTTATCATTAATTAATCTTTGGCACTTTATGCTTATTTATTTTATTTATTACACTAATTAAATACACAAGTCTTTTAAACAAATAACGAAAAGGAAAAGACAGCTGTTGCTTGTAGCATTCAATTCATAATATGGCGGCAAAATGTTGGTGTAATGATGATCTGCATAATTACTTAATGAATGAATAATTTGTTGTTAGAGGCACGCATGCGCCATCATGCACTTGCGTTGACGGTGCATAAACTAAGTTTGTATATAATAATAAAGTGAAGTATAGTACTTACATAGTTATAGGTAATGCATTGTGAGAGCAGGCGAGCAGGCGACCTCGGCATACAAACATTGCGCGTCACGCCAACATGTTGACCTAACCGACCCTTATTCGGAGATGACTTAAGATTTGTCGTCATTCAAAACTTACATAGGTATCTAAAATTTAACATCTGTAGACAAATTCTTAAAAATGTTTATTTTTTCATTAACATGTTAAAAATGTTATTTGTGTACCAACACGGATAGTTAAAGTACTTCTTTGCATACGATGTAGATAAATTTTAAGTGACGCTAAAAACAATAACATTTTCCTAGTAATTTAGCATTGAAAATTTTTCTCGAATGCCCAAGTTTTCCTGGTAATTATAGCACAGGAAATAATAGTTTAGCTATTTATCTACCGAAACGCAAAATAATCAGTATAATTAATAATTATAATGATCATTATATGCCACATTTATTCAGTACCGCGAAATATTAATATTCAAGCTGATAAGTAATAAAGTTAGATAAAAAATAGGGACTTCAAATGGGCAGGACGGACGGACAAGAGTTTATGATATTAACGTAATACTGAGCTACGAAGTTGGTAATGTTTTTACTAATAACCCTGCATGATATGTTCTGTGCTGGTTTCCAGAGAGCCAGGATGTCTCACTCCCTGACCATTACTCGGACGACGGTGGCCACGTCAGGCACTCCTGTCTACATCAACAGCGGGTACATGAGCTCCACTCCTGGACTCCTCAAACTTGCTGAATTGGTAAGGACCAGTTTTATTTTATATAACTATAATGATTCAAAAGTATTTTAAATGAGTGGTATAACCACAAGATTGCGGTAGGTACTCCAGTTTTCCTCACTGGAACTGCTGACACTCTGTTTTGTTAAATAGGGTAAGTATGACGAATTTAACTTTTATTATATAAAATCTCATTTTAATGCAAATAATTGGGTATATGACAAGTTAAGAAATTGGCAGAGTACCTATTTTAAAGTATTCTGCTGTTACAATGTTATCGAATTTGTTAAGTTTATAGTTAATCGATATGTCATCATCAACAGCCGAAAGACGTTAACTGCTGTAAAAAGCCTCCCCCTTAGTCCTCCACGTCGAACGACAACTCGCCACCTGCATCCACTGACAATCGATATGTATAAGTTGTTTATTTATACGTTAGGATTCTCTAGTAAGATGCTCTGGCTGCACTATCAGGATAATGGATACTTATATGTATGTGCATAATTGTTCTCCATCATGATTAGGAATATAACTGAAGATAACGTTAAGTACCCTCTGCAATGTGTTGCCACAATGTTAAAATAGGAGCCACGACCACTATCAGTGTATAAATACAATTATAAACTATCGAGTGTACGTAGTAAATGATTCATATGTATATAAATTTCCTGCTACACAAGATATTTCGATTCAGATTGTAACCCAGTTTCAGTTACGTAAATATCATGGTTGGGAAATCGGTCGTATCAAGCTAAGGGCCGCCTTGAATTATGAAATTAAAATGTCTTTGAAACAACAGTCTCAAGCTTTTACATAAACAAAAAAATATTAAGACTTAATGTAATATAGTATTATAGTATACGATTGGTAAGCAAAACATCTTTTCTGAGGGCTACTTTTAGCTAGTTAATATTGTTCATGTTAAAAAGGCGAGATAGAAGAAAAGGCGTATGGCCAAAGCTAAAGTCCAAACCAGGTATTCTTGATAACCACATTAGTCGATAAAGTGTAACCCTCCTTGTAGCACTTACTTCAGCTCTATATAGAGAAAGCGTCCTTATAAAGCTTTTACCCGCGGCTTCGCTCGCGTCACAAAAGGATAAAAAGTCGCCTATGTAACCTATACCAATACACACAGCGCCATCTATACCAATAATTTCGTTTTCAATCGAGGATATCAAAATTTTCCGGGATAAAAAGTACCCTATTATTTAATCCAGACTTCTAACCATACGTCTGCAAAAATTCAAAGCAATCTGTTTAGTAGTTACGGCGTGAAAGTGGAACAAACAAACAAACAAACAAACTCACTTTCCGATTTATAATATTAGTAAGGATTGAAATCTTTCAATATTGGGTAGTAAACATAACGATCATGTAAAAAAAATATATTCGTACTAAGTAATGTGTCATCAGTACTCTCACGGATTTAATGAATTTCCATTGTATATTTTGTTTTTAGTTTCCGTCCGGATTTCTTTGAAGTGACCATGAATGATATCACTGCCTGGTGGCGTCATCGCGTTTTATTGAATAGTTTGCGAGAATATTCAAACACATGAGTGTAAGGTTGTGTTAGTATATGAGTTTAGCAGACTATCTTTATCAAATGAGTCAGGGAAGGTTGTTAACTTCTGCAATTAAACTCTTGTTACTGCATTTAGACCAATGATTGCTTTGGTGTAACAAATTAATTGGACAACGCTCTGTTGATGGGCTCTAGATTGATCATAAGTTAGTTAAATATTCTTAAATCGTTCAATACGATTTTTAAGTATTTGTAGGTCAACTGTAGAACTATCAGCATATTGATTACATGATCAAAATAAAAAATCTGTCGTCAATAGACACAGTTACTAAATGGTTTAAGACGAATATGTGTGAACCAAAAGAAATTAATTTTCGTATTAATGTTCGGTACAAAAGTAATTTGAAGTAGATGGACGTCGTAATCTTTCCCTGGCCTCGCATTTTACGAGGTAGCCATGACTTCACCCGAGCGGGTTATTCTTGGAGAAGCAAGAATAAACAAACGCTCGATGATATGTGCACCGCAAAAGTGCGTCAAAACACTTATTTGTATTTTCGATGCAGTACAGACTTGTGAATAAAATCTGATGGTACAGGAAAAGCATGTACAGGATAAATGTAAATATTTAAAGATGCAATACGACATTCTGACTAATTTATCAAGGTCTAAAGCAATGTTAAATGTGCCTATAAGGAAAACTATATATGTCGATACCTATGCCGAAGGTATAAGTCATTTAACTAACATACTCATATGACAATCATTTGGGCACATCGGTGTATCAGTCCTAGATCTGAAATGAAATAATAAAAAGAAAGATTTATGCTATTGTCCTATAGAATAGAATTACACGATGAGGCACTTACTTTCATGCATTCGATTCATATTAGGCGCTATGATACTCCAAACTGGTTTATAAGTATTCCGCACCAGGACTTTTTTTAAATTTCTTCAATAAGATCAGCCACCGAGAGTGGCTGATGGTCTTATTTACCGCTAACATTCCTTGCCCTTTCTAAATACTACGATTAACTTTAATACTGAAGGACTGCGTCTTATGTTTCAGTTGCTGGGTGCAGCGTGTGTTGGAGTAGTAGCATACTACATGGACCATGGATACTACCGCATCGGCGATGGCAAGGCGGTGTTGTTCTATTTGCTCGTGGCCGTGGCCTGCCTCGTAGGCACGTTTTGTCTATTCACGTCGTGCATCGTCTCCTTGTCTACAGCTTCTATAATATCAAAAACAATTTATGTACGTATCTTTATATTAATTCGAAATAACATGATACCCATAAAGCAAGCGCAAGCGCTAGGTTTGTCGCAAATGACGTCATAGACGTAGGAGTTAAATGTCAATATTTATGGTTTGAAGTGTTTTTATTAGATTAATATTATTAACTACATAGACTTCATATTGTTTGTACAAACATATTTGAAAGTAGCTTAAACGCTTTATTAATCTTTGAGGGTGATTTTGCATTACATAGTAACGATAACTCCTTGTCAATATTTATTGTTTTCTAATACATACACATATTTGTTTTCAGGAGGTGATATACCACGGTGTAGCATTTGTATTGTACCTGGCTGCAGGGATCACACTCATGGTAGAAGTCAACCACTATAAGGACCAGTACAGACGGGATTATGAACCGTACTTAGCTGCTGCGGTAAGAAAATACCCCTTAATTATTTATAGTGGTAAATTACCCCTATTCTACCCGCTGGTAGGACGTAAGACTCGACTAAGGGGCTCAAGACGACGGATATTAAGCAGCAGCGTTCTTAGATAAACATAAGCTTGATTACTGATAGGGCCCAATAGGGTTGAGGCCAATACGAAGCCGCGCAAAACGTAAAAGGTTACCGGGGCTCCGGTTCGAAGTGCTGGAGCACAAACGGGGTGCGTTTTAGTTAGTAAGAGTCTGACACTCCCTCTCGCATCACCGGGGCGGAAGAAGTCATTTGATGATTTACCCCCCAAAGTCAAAGTCAAAGCATTTATTTCAATTAAAACATGATTTGGTACTTTTGGAACGTCAACAAATACAAAATAAATAATAGTCTGTCAGTCAGTCCGCCAGTGAAGCTAGGTGAAGCTAGGTGCTCATTCCAAAATGCAGATTCGGATGGAGAAAAACAAGCAAGATACACCATTCATTTCTCTTTTTAAAAAAAGTATGTTCTGCAATGTCTCTTATACATATTCCAAGACTAAATACTGTACGTGTATGTGAGAACAATACAAAGACACGCTTGACGCATTATACAAATTACAAAACTTACTAAAATAAAAATTATAAAAACTGCAATCTCTAACCCTCTTATCAACCGTGGTGATCCTTTTTTGTAGAGGAGGCACTATTCAGAATGACGATGATGGTGAACATGTTACAAAATATGTACATTGAAAATGTTACAAAAGTATTATATAGGTATTTAATATTTGACCCTGTTGATGTCATCAGCATTAATACTATTAATATAATTAACTCAAAAATAAAAGCTCATAAATGAATTGAAAACCATAAGTTTAAATGTCATAAAACCACAATCAATCAATCGTAGGTGTTTGGGATAATAAATAAAGAACATGTAATAATGTATTACACAAACCTTTCAAACGTTTTTTCCTGTTTACTTATAAGCGCATAAATTAACAAAATGTACCTCACCTTAATTGTTTATTTATTCATTATTATTTTATTATTTCAGATCATGGGACTTATCATGGCCGCTCTTTACCTGCTCAGTACATTCTTAGCCAATCGTCAATACCGCGGCATTTAGATTAGTCCAAATATTTTTAGATTTAACTATAATTAATTTATTTCCTGATATTGTTAGAGCTTTTTACTTAAGTTACATTTTTCTTTATTTAAGTTCATTTAAATACAAAATAATATTTAATGTATACTCCTGAACGAATATAAAAACACGAATTTAGTTTCTCATTTAGCCACTAGAGGCACTGTTGTGTTTATTCAGCGTTTAATACTATGTACATTTTATGTATACATTTTCCACTAAAAAATTTTTAAATATCGTCTAGTCGTTATGAAAGTGTTGCATTTTGAGAATTCTTAGGCTTGTGATGGCCACAATGAGAATATGCCATGCCATTAATTCAAGTCTATAGCATTTAATTAGGGCTTCCTCTTTATAATGCGTTTTTATTATATTGCCAACGTCATGAATACACAAAGTACCATTTATATTCAGAAATATGACAAGTTTCGAAGAAAACGCACAGAGAGATAAATAAAGCTGTACATATTTTTATACAAATAAATAAAACGTAAAACGTATTAATATATTTTGCATAGTTTTTTGGACACGTGTTTACTAGATATTTGGAAAGATTTATACCAATAACTAATAAGTATTTTAATACATGAATATCTCTATGTAATATATAGACGATTTATTAGTTAATCAATCTTATACTGGCGATTGCCAGTATAGGATTGATTACCTGATTAAGTACCTATATTTAACGCCAAGGAGAAAAATAGAAAAATAGATGAGATAGGTACCCGTAAGTAAAAAAAAATATTGTCTGTAAAACTGGTGCTTCAATACAATAAAATTATTTATTAATAAATAACAGAATACTTCTACTACCTCTAAATAAGAAAAGAGAATCAAATGACTTGTTTCAAAATTGTAATAATTTAATACATGTTTTAAAAGATACTTTTTTGAAGTAATGTGTGTTTTATCTCGTCTACATTAATTACAAATCACATCGTATGATATAAGTGATCGATAACCAGGTAATCCGAATACCTATACACATTAAAACTTCCTACATTGCACTTTTTTATCTAAGATCTGATATATTATGTTCAGCATTGTTTTTGTTAAGATGCCAAACCATACTAATTACTAAGGTTATTATACAATTTTAAATTATTTTTTATGAAATATTTTAGTACAACCTAGTCAGTAAAGAATGCTATTATTTTTTGTCAATTGACTGGCATGTAAATGTAACTAGGTACCTATACTTATAAGTATTGTACACCGTGAAATCTATTTTATTTATTTATTTAAGTTTTATACAATTGCATAAGGAAGACTTAATGCTAACAGCATTCTCTGCCAGTCATCCTTTGGGTATTGCTATTTCGTTTTTATCCCGAAGTAAAAATGGTTCTGCCTTGATAATACAATAATTTTATAAAGAAATAAAATGTTTAAATAAAAAAAAAACTGGGGAAGCATTGCAAAAAACATACTTTGAAAGCGCGTACGAATTCATAGTACATTATCAAAACATCACGTCATGTAATTCTCGAAGAGGTATTTCTCGTCGGGTGGCACTTGCGATGCGAATAGTGCCTACAAATTTACCTCTAGTGCTTCATGTGCGAATTTCCATTATTTCTTTTAATCAAAAAAATTACGTCTTTATTTTTTTGGTTTTTACTTTATATATGGAAAGTTCTCCTTATGGCAAGTTGTTTTCCGCGAGACGAAAATACATGTCCTTATTGCATTAAAATTGTAATTTATATTTTATAAAGTATTGTTGGTGCTAACGACAAATCAAACTGTTGCCATTGTAATGTATGTATATGCCCGCTATTAAATGTTATATATGTATAAAGTTTTAAACATTATTCTAGAATATTCTAGAAGAATATGTATATTACAGCAGTTTATGTACATATATTCTTTCGACACTATTCTGGATCTAGATTATATCTTGCGTATCTATTGAACAGATAATGTTGATATTAATTTGTTGTTCTCATAGCAATAAAATAATATGTTTTCAAAATTAGTTATTTGTAAAACAATCCTTTATCAGAACACGAATGTTTTATCATTTCCTGAACATATCGTGGACGACCCGCGCTGATAGAAAATCCAAAAATATAAAAAAATACAGGTAGCCATTTTGTGTAGGTAATTCTATTTTGTGACAAATACAAACAATTTAAAAAAACAGTACCTACGTATACGTAACAGACAAAGATTACCGTATTAAAAATCAATTAATGGTTTTAACGCGCAATGTCAAACATTTTTTTCCAAAATTAAAAGATTAGGGTCGGATTTGCTTTAAATTAATCGGTTTTTTCGCGATAACATAGTTTACATGACGTCACGTCGTCAATACCACTTTTAAATAATTACGTATGTCACAGTCAACTAGTTTAATTAGCCGTTATATGAAAAGCCCGGTAATGTATTATTTGGAATATTGTTGTGTATTAATAGGGACATTAATTGAAGGAACAATTTAGGCTGTTTATTTAAACTGTCAAACACCAAGCGGTCACCGGTGACCGCGACCTATTGTTCATTAATTGTGTCTATAAAACCGGTACTCGACGAGTTAATATTGATTTTGTAATTCCTGAATCACATTTTCAACTATCTGTTCATATTATCAATTTTTATTGTCACGATTGATTTTATTGGTATTTACAGAGAGGCAGTGATGATAAATAGAGGAAAATCTACATTCTTGTGGTATCTTGTACATCTTTAGTGATTAATAGTTTATCATTAAGTGATTATCCGCCTGCTTGGCTGAATAATTAATATTATGTATGTATGCATATACGCATTTAGTAATATGTCAGAAAAACACGCACATAGCTTTACTTTAAAGCTATGGGTATATTATACAAACATCTAATTAAACATTGCCACGTTAAAGATGGTATTCAAACTCAATAAATAGTTGAATGTTAGATTTTTACCTATCTTTAAACTTACTACGTCATCGTGACTGCAGCCTACTATTTGACCTAAAAAAACTTCGGTATGGTTATTATACTGCCAGCCGAAAATTTCCACATGTGTGTTGATTACAAGGGGGACCCTTAGGGTTACCCTTTGAAAAAAAATTATTGCTATAAGTAGCTAGAAGTATCTACAAATATACTTCTAGAAGATACTATCGTTATTTTTAATTTCGTACGTCGATGTAAAACTGCACCCTGTATATGAACTAGAGTAAAGCAGTAAATGCGCTTCCGATAATATTAAGTAATTCACGCTAATTTAAGTAGAGTATGTTACGTATCAATCTGCTTGGATTAAAACGCAACCTTGGATTATTTTATTTATTGCCGCTGTATTAACGTATTATGTAAAGCCCTTAATTCTTCGTATCTTTTAATTTTTATTGATGATGTGAATTTAAATCGACGAAAAATCAGGGCATTACCCACATTCTATAAATAAAGAAAACTATATACAAGTAAAATAAATGTTTCTACTTTGGTAAAATATAGTGTTTTATTGTTTACAAGTACCACACCCTTTCTATCAAGCTGATGTGGATTCTATCCCAATATCTACGAGAAGACGAGTGATCCGTTTGTCACACGTACCGGTCATTACTAATCCTTTCTTTTAGCTATTCACTATCTTAAGCAGACATTCGATGATTTTCCCCCCTTAAAAAAACAGGTTACCTTTTGACATAAGCATCCTCAAGTTCTCTCTGGTTATATCGGTCCAGCTCTATTGTTCAGATCAACTTCCCACCTTATTGTAGGACTTCCTCTACGTAATTTTTTTGCATCTCGTGCCTATAAGTCTAATGCCATCATGCGCTCTCTCACCATGCTTTGTTTTGGATACCGCAATGTGATTAATGACAACGATCATCAGAGGAGTAGGTTTATTTATTCAGGAGCATAGTGAGCGCATTAGCTGGAACAGTGCTATTTAAAGATGTTTGTTGTGATTGAAAAACTTATATCATGATCATGACATAGGAAATAAATCATATATCAGGCACGTTTCATATTTTACAAACGAGTTTCAATATAACGACCTTTATTGTGTGGTAATTGGGTCGACAACAAGTCTACGTGCATTCTGAAACTGCAGTTCTTACATTTGTCATAACAATTGTAACGTTAAGCCCTTGCTATCTAAGTAGGTCACCCAAAATGACGCGACTCTTGCCATGCCAATCATGCCATTATAATAACGTGATTAACGCCTGAAATATGAGTTTTATTACCTTCTACAGGGTGAGTTAACTTTATGTCAACGTCTAATTTTATTCAAAATCCATCATTATTATTATCATTACCATATTGTAAATATATGCGTTGACTTTCATAGGTAATTTTTAATCTATCAATCGTTAAGTTTTTCAATAAAATGAGGGCGGCAATTCCGAAACACGTTGCAACTCGCAACAGATAATATCTCTAATGTTCAATTAAATAAGGAACTACTTAACATTATATTTATTTTATTTGTTTAGGAAAACGGACCAGATTGTTAGACAAGATAAAGTTTTAATTAGATACGTCGATAGTTTGTGACGTATACATCGTACGTAAAAAAACAAAACAATGAGGTTAATGAGTTTGTAAATAAAATATCCTGAAATAGAAAGTAACCCTCCCGTCGCGAGTGCGTCGCTCTATTTTTGTAATTAAGCGCACACGCAGCGCGCGGGCACGCGTCTCATTCAAAAATATTCCAACTTTGTTCCGCACCCGACATGTCCTTTGTTTCAATTATTTAAACGAATATATTGATTGTCGTGTTTTTCATCAAATACCAAAGAAACAGTGAAAAAATCTCACTTCGTTCTGCTTTAAGGTTTATTGTGAAGTTCCGATTTTCAGAGTTCGATGAACGCGCTCCCAAACAGTTAAAAACTATGCGGTCTTCTAAATATGTTGTTATGAGTAATAACTAACCGAGTAAGAGGATTGAACTCCCCTTTATTTCCTGTGTGGTGTTTCAGCAGTATTGTGAAACTTTCTGATGAACTTGCCGGTGTTTTGTGCGTCTTCTGTGAAGTTATAGTGATACAATGGGACCGACGATAGTGCGTGTGGCGCCTGGCGGAGGTGAGAAGGGCATCAAATGTTGCTGCTGCAGATGCTGCGAATGCCTCAACCTTGGATACTTGACCACCCATCATGGAATTATAAAGCTAGCTGAAGCTGTAAGTACCTAACATTATTTATCTCCCTGAAATTGTCGCAATACTTATTTACATTGTGTAAAATAAATTCTATCGTGGATTGTTGCAATTAGTACATCTGCTGATTAATTTCACCATCTTTACAATTTTTTTATACATCAAATCAAAAGAAACCTTCACCAAAAAATAATCTTATCTCATTTCATTTCATTTATGTATGTATGTCTAGACGGATGTATGAAACAATAATATAGGTCAAATATCAATTCGATATTCAGCGGAACTTTTAGAATGTAGTCCATAGTGATGATATTTTTATGCGAAACATTATGTTATTTCCATTAAAAATACTATGTATCAATAACCGTCAGATATTCAAATTCGTGCTTTTTACTCTGACGACAGATGTTGGGTGGTTTGTGCCAGAGTCTGCTGGTGAAGTATGGCATGTCTGAGGCCAGCAACATGGGTTCAGCCTTTCATGGGTTCCTGACGACGGCCTCCGCCTGCCTCCTGACTACTGCTCTCCTAATTGCCTGCTACGTACTCTCTTCACACACACAACAGCTCATAAGACAGTCCATTTTCGTAAGTGACCATGGACCTTAATTGTCAACATCGACATGTTTTGACATGAACTGAATTGATGTTAGTAATACCTAGGTACTTACATTTCGATGCTACATTACACAATGAATCGTTAAGACTAGATAAGTAAGAAAATTCTTTAGTAGCTCTAAAAATATTTACCTCGTGATTTATTTCTGTAATTTTATTTTTAATTATTACATTCTAAACTTAATTTTCAATAATAATTAGTCCAGATATTTTTTTTTTTTTAATCTTTATTTACTTATATATAAATAAATGTATTATTGGGGTTTTTATCCCTTAAGGATATGCCAACCCCATCGTACCTTATTCTAAAGTGAGCACATGACTTCAATTACAGTTTTACATTAGGTACTTATGTATATATCTATATAGGTACTTTAATTACATTAATTGGACACATTAAGCTGTCAAACACCAAGCGGTCACCGGTGACCGCGACCTATTGTTCTTTAATTGTGTCTATAAAACCGGTACTCGACGAGTTAAGTAAATAACTACTGATTACTCTTGGACAATTTTTATCATTGTGTACAATCGTTTAGCCGCTTTTGAAGTATACTTTGTATCAGACCCACTTCCAGTCTATTAAGTTTAAATTCTTGTAAAAACAAAATGCGTTCATTCCTGTTTCGGACACATTCCATCAGCAAATGTTGTATATCTTCTGTTGTGTTGCAAATAGTGCAGTTCGGTGAATTATTTTTTTTCATTAAATAAGCAAATTTTGCTGATGGATAGTGTCCGGACCTGAGTCTGAGAATAATTTTGATGTATTGTCGGCTTAATCTTGTTTCATTAAACCATGAATTTCGAGGAAGCTCACCTTGTATGGTTTTATACCAAATGCCCTTACTCATCGATTTAGTTTCGTATAGTTTCTTCCATTCATTGAAACATATTTCCTTAAATCTAGGGACTAATTCACAGTGATCTGGTACGTAATTGATGATCATACCCTCTGTTGCTGCTGTCTTAGCTACAAGGTCAGCCTCCTCGTTTCCCTTCAGACCAATATGCGCTGGGACCCATTGCAATATTAACTGTTTATCTGTCTCGTTAAACCAGTTAATAGATTGTATAATTTGGTAGGCAATCGATGCACCTCTGTGCCCAGAGGCGCACCGAGCCACATGTTGTAAAGCACTCTTACTGTCGGAAAAAATGTCAATTTTATTGTCCAGATATGCAAAAAGCAATTGTATAGTCCAGAGATGCAAAAAGTATTTTATTATCAGATTTATCAGTTTATTTTTACAGTTGGACATTGGCCTTTCCTAAGTCTTTTCACGGCTTCACGAGCTCTTATCTTTTCAAAACAACTGAAAAATAAATAACAACTGAATGTAATTATATTTTTAATAATAAATAATAATTTTATACGTATTTATGTTCATAGGAATGTCTGTTCAACACGGTAGCGTGTTTCCTGTACTTGTCGGCGTCCTCCTATATGGGCGTAGCAGTGAACATCTACCTGTACCCGCAGTACGCGCTCGTTAACATGTACGCCGCGTATCCGGCCATGACTGCTGTCTACGTAAGTCCTTGCTTATTGCTTACACATTTAGCTACCACTTGAGATTATACATACAACCCATAGAATTTAACCACTATGGAATTTGTTCAGGACCTCCAGTGCCACTATTATAGCTGTACTGAGCTGTGGTACTTATCATATTAAATATTATAAAGAATTAATATTTACCTTGACAGTTTTGATGTACGACTACCTTACCTCTATCTTCAATAACCTTCAAATTCATTAATTACTGTTACTCACAGGTATTTTGTACTAGTTTGGTACAATTTTTTCATTATCTTAGGACATAATTTAATCATTAAAGAAAGTGATATTTATTTCATATTTTTTTAATCCTAATCCTTGAAGAACGTTTCAAGGCTTCTAGAGGCTAATTTTGAACAATAAAATGTCTGATAAAATCACACACGACACTTGCATGTAGTGAATAAATGACGAAAAGTTGTTCTAAAAGGTATTGATATGACGTTGCAAAGTAGGTTTCAAATCTCACATTCGCGTACAAAACAATTTATCAATATGTGAAATACCTACCTGTGATTAATAGATAGACGTGTTGATCCGGAGCAATCTGGTTATTATCTATGAAATCACATTTTATTTTCCTTTATTGCACAAATATTGTTCGTGAATATTTTTAACTGTATTAAGAAATATTTTTTTATTATTTTTCCAGTACATCGGCGTTGTGGTTGGCATACTTCACGGAGTGGACGCGTACCTGTCCTACAAGTATCACAAGGGATATCGATAAACGAACGACTACCTAAGAGTAATTTGATATACTGGAATAAGTATTATTATATAACCCTTAATAATAATATTAAGTACCTAACCTACTATGTTATAATTTCTCAAACTCTGGATTATTACGTTACAAACCTCGAATCTATATATAACGTCAGCTGACTCTATCTTCTTATTAGTTTTTCTTCAATATTTGATTATAAAAAAATCTGCAGAAATTCTTGTTTTTTTTTTAATTTAGCTAATTATGCTGAATCATATAATTTTGACTAGCTAAGACTCGTTTGACAAGAATGCTTAAGTACTTAAGATAGGTACAGCTGACGCGCACGCACTTTCAAGGACAATATCTAACGTGTCCAGAGAGGTAGCCATGTGTTTTTAGCGGACTATGTCCGGGGAAGAACATTAGGAATTACGATTACAACTAGCATTAATGATAAAACCTTTATTTTTATCTTTATGGCCTTAGGCACAGTTTTGAAGGTCGACAGCTGGATTAATTAGTGCCGCGTTAGCTTAAAAAGTCTTAAGAAACGATACACTACTATCTTGACATAATTGCAATAAAAAACAATGTTATTTGTTCGTCATAATGACAAAATATATATATTGAGTAACATTTCATTCCAATCGAGGTTTACGAATAACTTTTCTAAGTCTACTAACTAACCTCTTAAGTATCTACCTACTTATGGAAAATGTAAAACTTATATATTATGTAAAACTTTGTTGTATTTATACTTATATGAAATAAAACATTTGTTTTCTTACCGCAGTATGTTTTATTGTGTGCATTATCTACTTGCAAATCAAAATAACTAATGATTTTATCTATAATTATGTACATACTTAACAACAATGTTAATGCGTGATTTCATGTGGGAGATTCATGCTGCGGCATGCATGGGCCTACATGGGCCGGCTAGCTCGCTAAGCTTAAAAGCTTTAATATATCTATAATATGTCTATTCTTATTCTGCAAATGCAGATTAAGAATAGGGAATATAGTTTGACCTATTTGTCTGTAAACAATGAAAAATACCCAATTTTTCACCGGTAGGTTGAATTGCATAATCTGTATTTAATTCAATTAATTATTATTGTTATATTTTCTGCGGTTCTTACCCTGTATTTTCGATAGTAATTATCAAATCACAATATAGGATTAATATGAATCCCAGTTTATTCGTATTATCTTTTTTCTACTTAGTATTATCAATTATTTATTGCCGCTGAATGCGTGTCATTTAATAATCCGAATCGTTTGGAAATGACAATTAGTTTTCTTTATTGTAAAAGAAAATATATAAATACTCAATCATATCAGATATATGAAAGATATTAAAATACTAGCTTTTACCCGCGGCTTCGCTCGCGTCACAAAAAGATAAAACGTAGCCTATGTGACTACCCATCCCTTCAACTACCTTCAGTTGAAAAATCACGTTAAGTACCTCCGTTTTGCCGTTTAAGACAGGCAAACAAACAAACAGCTGTTCGCTTGCGTGGAATTCGGTTATAACGCGCGTTTTAGATTTTTCCGTGGGAATGAGAAGTTCTGCCGCGGTAAAGCCTTGCTTTTCCAGGACTCAAACTACCTTTATACCAAAATCGATTCAGCCGCGTGAAAGAACAGAAGAAGTTATTTTCGCATTACCACAAATACCTCCTCCCATTTTAATTTAAAAGACTTCTATTTCCTATAAGGGTTATATTTGCAATGCTAAAAACCAAAACTGAGTGGTAAACTATATTATACGTTTTATTATCGAAAACCTAACTGCTTTAGACATCTACTTAGAAATAAACCACTTCACTAATCTAACCTAACTAATATAGCTACTATAATCTATATCAATCAACGTAAACAATGAACACAGCGTCTTAGAACGACGAAAAAAATCACTATAGTAGTACTTAAAATATCTACCTAGAAAAAATAACACTTCACTAATCAAAAATAATAATCAATATAAGCGCTAGATGCGTACCCTAAAATATAATTGATACGGAAGCTCGGAACCTATACTTTCGCCGGTAACGAAACCATAGCGCCATCTAACTCGATCCTAACGCCATCTATCGAGCGTTGAAACAACAGCGTACAATACATTTGCTAATTGTTGAGTATTGTTGCCACTATGGTTTCGTGTACCTTTAACAATCTAAAATCTATAAAATACGCAACTTAATGTAAAATGGTTGGAACCAAAATTTAAAAGCGAAGAATACTTAAAAAACACAACGCTATTCCGTTTTATAAACACTCAGCGCCATCTATCGCCAAGTAGCGTAACTACCACATAGACACCAATTTCGTGTACCTTTAACAACCTAAAATCTATAAAATACCCAATTCAATGTAAAATGGTAGGATTCAAAATTTAAAACCGATAAAAATACTTAAAAAACAACGTTACCCCGTTGAATATATAATAATAAACACTCAGCGCCATCTATCGCCAAGTAGCGTAACTACTACATAGTCACCAATTTTGTGTACCTTTAACAACTAAAATCTATAAAATACGCAATTTAATGTAAAATGGTTAGAACCAAAATTTAAAAGCGAAAATTACTTAAAAAATAGCGTAACTACTACATAGACACCAATTTCATGTACCTTTAACAACCTAAAATCTATAAAATACACAATTCAATGTAAAATGGTAGAAACCAAAATTTAAAAGCGATAAAAGTACTTTAAAAGCACAACGCTACCCCGTTTTATAAACACTCAGCGCATCTATCGCCAAGTAGCGTAACTACTACACAACGTTACCACGTTGTGTTTTTTAAGTATTTTTACATAAAAAATAGCAAATAAATGAGTCGAAAAACGCACTGAATAAGTGTAGATTAACACCAAATAAGCGCTATAGATTAAAGCGTGAAATTTCCATTTAGTAGGTAATTCGTTGAAACTTGAATTGTTTTAGATGGCACAAAGCGCCATCTACAGGAATACACACAGCGCCATCTATACTAATATTTTTGTTTTCCCTCGGGAATATCACATTTTTCCGGGATAAAAAGTACCCTATTATTTAATCTGGACTTCTAACTTTACGTCTGCAAAATTTCAAAGCAATCGGTTTAGTAGTTACGGCGTGAAGGTGGAACAAACAAACAAACAAACAAACTCACTTTCAGATTTATAATATTAGTAAGGATATCTGGATACGACATTAAAAAGGGGATACATCTGTCAAAAAACTATAACTATCTAGTTGAGCTAATAGATTGGTCTAGGACCTGTCAAAATGGCATGATGATGAAGGTAAAGTGTGAATCGAGATAAATGACGTGTCTTGGTTCCTGTCTACATCCAACTATCGGAGACAAGTGTTTGTTCCAAGCCTGCTGGTTATGAGCTCCATCCAATCTCCATTGAAATATATGTGTCATGTATATGTGATATTGTATGTTTGTAAACCTTCCCACGATACAGGAGAAAATCCTAGTGTGGGGCAACGATTAAAAAAAAAATGTGGAAAGGGTAAGCAGACACATTGTAAAATTAAGACAGAAGTACAACAGAACCAATTGAATTAATTAATTAACCGACTAAAAAAACAAAAGAAGGACGTTTCAGTTTGACCTGTCCGTGTGTATGTATGTTTGTGTGGTTTCTCGCGATTGGCTAAACCGATTTGGGTGTGGTTTTCAGAATAGTGTTTGTTACACTTAATAGAAGATTTTAGTTAATGGAATTACGGAAGATTTGGAATCCTTTGTAATTTATAGATTTGAATTTTATTCGAATAATGACAGCAAAGCGGCGCTAATACAAAATACGTGCATTTATTGGTGTTGCCATCCTGAGCCACTTTGTTGCATCATTATTGTATTTAAATTATAACATTTCGTTTGAGAGTTTCCTCTTAGTTTCACACACACACACACACACATTTTTATGCGCTCATAAGAGTTGTTTGACTGTTTGGTGTAGGTATGTACCTATATAATGTGGTGTTTAATGATTCAGTGATCATATTCGGTTTTTCTGCGTCGGAGCTGAGCTGAGTATGTATGGATACGGTCGTCGTACCTGGCACGGCCATCACGCGACCAGTCACCTCTATTACGTTGTGATAGCGACCAATTTCAAATTCTCTACAGCTTTATCAAATTAAATATTTTATATATTTATTAAGCAATAATGGCACCCAGATTATTGCATGTTTATCGTTTACTCCTGCATGTTTTACAGTGCAATATACCTTATATAGTACCGATAACAGAACCCTTAGCGACTATAATCTGGGCCATATAATTGGGCCTCAGGTAACCTCACTCACATGACGAAGCATGAAGCAAGCGTTGCTTCACGTCAATTTTCTGTGAGGCCGTGGTACCACTTCGGTCCAGCCGGCCCATTCGTGCCGAAGCACCCACACTTAACATAAGGCAGGAGGACTATATTTTATGTTATTTACATTATTTATATAATATACACATAGTGATAGTCGTATCAATTATTACTTATTTATATTTATATGACTGACGACGATATAGTTTGAGTTTTACAGTCTAGTTAAGATTAAATCAATTATGATAATAATCTATCTATATATCCAAACACTCCTATCGTCATATTACTCCTTTCGCTCTCTTTTGGTATTTCATTTATTTTTCTACTTACTACACAATTCAAAGTTCGAAATTGCTTTTAATATTCGCCAATATAAGCACGCTTCATTGCACGCATCATTCATGCAAACCAGAGAAATAAATTGTTATCTTCTTTATTGTGACTGTAGCTCACAATGAAAAACCTCGTAAGCAAAAGTCTTTTGTAAGTTGGTGAAAAATTGGGTATAGGTATAGACTATAGATAGTTTTGTGGTGTCAGGTCAAAATTATCATTGCAGCCACTATGCTTAAAGAGGAAGAATGAGAAATATCAAGTCAATCGACGGAAGCTGCTTAAATACATAGTTTAAAATATATTATATCAATAATTTGCAAATGTAATGCAACTGCAGTACGTTCTATATTTGC